CAAATCTTCCCATAAAAATTGCAATAAAGCGCTCAATAGTAGCTATCGTGAAGATCCAGCTCTTGAAGTGAGAAACTGTGACCAGTCGAGTTCAACCAGACAGTTATCCACCGCAGGCAATCGGAGATAATCTCGCAATATCACGAGTCTTCGTTTCGATTCACGGATGCAGGTTTGTGTGTGTGTGCGCTTGAGGAATCAGCCGTCTTATGTTTCCATATTTCCAGTGGGGGGGTCTAAGACAAGTTTATGATCTAGAAACTATAGAAATGAAAGGCGATAAAATATCTGTTAATGATAATTAGTTACTGACCAAAATAAGAAAAGATGAAAATGTAAGTGTTAGGAGCCTGAATATTGATCAAGAAGATGGACAAAGATAGGTACTTACTAAAAAATGGTTGCGTAACTTGAGAAATTGATATGAAATGCTATCAGAGTAAAATTAGAAACAGAAAAATGTCTTTGGATGATCAGAGGCCATTAAAGGAATTTAGAGGGAGAGTAATGGATTTGAAAAATAGGTAAAACAAAAACATGGTATAAATAAGATTGTATATGTTACTGTTACAGCTTCTCCAAATGCATGGCAAATGCTTCGGGCAAGCTAAGAAAGCAAGAGCAAACTGTATGGTGAGCTTTTGCTTGCTTTCTAGATGGTTTGAGTGCTGAATCCGTTTTGACTGAATGACCCTTGTTCACGAAGTGCTTGATTGTAGGGTTTCTCATAGACTCACTTTCGAATTCTTTCAACCAAGCCCAATAATATGTATGACAGTGTCCTAACATTTGGCAAAGGGTGAATATATTATCATTACATTGTCAAACAGAATGAAAACTAGTCTCCTCCTCCTGAGTCAACCTTTCTCGGATTTTGAACAGTCTACAAAGTAGAAGCCAATAGTTTGGACGCAATCAGAAGTAGACTTATCCCAGATATTTATTGAGTAGACGACGTGAACGCTTTTTAAAGATAGAAACAACTATCGACTCATTCCATGATATTGGAACATTCTCCAACTGTCAAACCTTTGAGAACAACTCATTCAGTTGCTTAACCAGAAGGCCACCACCATCCTTAAAAAGGGTCGGAGGTAAATCATCTGGACCTAGTGACTTGTAGCGTTTTAAGAGTTGGAGTTCCTTGCGGACTTCCGTCTCGTTTGTTGGATCAGTCGTCAAAGGCCATGGAGGGTAGCACAGTCTAATCGACGTTGCCAGTGCAGCAGGCCAATTAGGCTGCTACTTGAAAAACTTTGCCCATCGTCCAAGACATTGGTAAATGTTTTGATTGGAACGCTATCAACCTTACAGATTGTTTCACTCACACCAGTCTTCTTGCTGCCAGTGACCCGGATGAGTTGAAAGAGCTTCCGACAGTTACCAGATGCAGCTGCTGCTTCCAGCTCATTAGCACGCTCCGACCACCAGGCTTCTCAGTCCTTACTCAAGATTTGCCCAATTTCATTACGTAACATTCTTCGTTTGTGGTCAGACTCGCGGTCACTCGGAGTAAACCGACGGGCTTTAATGAGTTGTAAGAAGTCTGAATAAACCCGGTGCTTATAAGAGGGACGTTTTGCGAAGCCACAAGCGGCTCTACTCGTCATTTTTATGACGTTATGCAATCGCAACAAATGCTCATCTATACTTTTCTGTGGGATGGTAACTAGCCTTAAACTTAGGTTGGTTTGATATTTGTTCACGACAGATACTGCCACCAGCTTACTGTCAACAGTCTGCTTAGGGCGTTTAATTTGTTGGCCACTGAAACATAAGATTAGGGCAAACAATTGTATGATCAGAGTCCAGACAAATACTCTGAAAGGGGAGGCAGTCTTATACACAACCACGCCAGCGGTAGCTGACAAGGATGTGATCAGTTTGAGTTCAAGACGCTGGACGCCAGGTAGCACGTCAGCGATGACTGTGTCTATATTTAGTAGTAACCCGAACAACCCTCCTCTATTCCCAGACACACGACCTGTGCATTCATGCTTCTAGCTAGTACTAAAATATCTGTTGGACGCAATATTTGTAGAGCAATTAACTTGAGGTAAAACATCTTTGATCGTATGTAGGTTGCAATCTGCCGAAGCGTAGGCGGAAATGATGAAAAGATATCGTCCCTCATGCCTATTTCTTCTCACTTTTGTGGACTTTTCCAATTTAACATCACACAACCAACAGTTCTAGCGCTTAGTGCGATACCAAAGCCAGCAAAATCAGATGAAGGTGCCATAGCGTGCCAGAACAAACGTACACGAAATAAGCTTTATGAAGTGATAGATGGAGAGGTAACTTGTAGCACTCCATTAGAGGCGTGAATACGGGTCTCGGGTCTGTTGTTCGACCTTCATTAATGTGAGGATGTTGAAGGAGACTAGTTTGAATGGTGTACGTGGTTTCAGAAAGACTGATTCAGTATTCATAGTCGGTGGTAGCATTCAACGTTTGACTAGTCAGTAAAGTTAGGTCACTTAGATAAGACAAGGTCCCCATTATAAGCGAGCTGTTGTAGGAGTTGAAGAACAAAAGAATGTACAAAACAGGAACAAAGGAATAGACAACTGATGAAATATAAAATAAAAACGAGAGTTAACAAGTAGTTTTGAGTATGATTTACAACAATTAAAATTAAAGCGTGAATAGTTTTTCTAGTTGTAGTCATCATTTACTTCTGTATTTATCTGTACAGCTCTTCTGTAACATATTTTATGTCCCATTATTGCACTACCTTTGGTAAGCTCATTGTAACTTTGAATGACCCCACATAGTTATCAATGGTGCAAGTGTGTTATTATTATTAATATTATTGTCATCTTCCATTGGATTATTATTAGGTTGTACAATTCACGTTATTGATATCATAGTCTCATAGAGTGGCTTATGTTGTTTATATATATATATATATATATATATATATATATATATATATATATATATATATATATATATATATTAATCGTTTGTTCCAATACCATTTCCATGTGACTTTATAGACATTTTTATTATCCAAAGTTAGTCTCACTCATTAGCTAATGATACATACTGGTGACAGTTGAAATGTTTTTAAATAAGTATGGAGTAGGTCACTTGTTTTGAATGGTAGGAAATTTAAACACAATACTCATTTAAATCCTCAGTCGTAGTTTGAGGGTTGACTTTTACTCTAATTAAGTCCTTAACATATGTTACTGATCAGTGGATTATGAAAATTGCCTACAGTGATATCTTTCAGTTGTGGAAAGTTTTTGTTTTCCTTAAATTCACATGTTTCTACATATGTTCTGAAATAACAGAACTTTCGTTTTTCAACTAAATCTTTTTGTTCATCGTGTTAATTTGGATTTTACAAAGTTCATGTTTTATCCTAATATTCTTTTTAGGACTCCTCAGCACGTGTAAGTAGTCAGTAGCTGTCAGTAGCATTACTAGTGTATTCCCTGCTTAAGCTATGAATTCATAATTTAATAAGCGGCTAAAATAACTATTGTATACTAGCTATCTACCACATTAACTTATTTCTTCAATCTCTTCTTCGGCAGAATTAGAAACACAACTGAACTGAACATGCACTTATTCAAGTTTACAAATAATAACCTCTCACTATCTCAAGAGATAGTAATGATTTCTATGGCAGAGATTGTATTCACCAATAATTAAAAATATGACTTATTTCTACATTAACTGTACTTTGCGTTTTTAATATGGATGAAATCGATGATTGTTAGTGTATCATATTACTTACGCTTAATTTAAAATGTAATGTACCAGATATTTAGGAATACATAATATGCTCAGAATAAACTGCGGTATCTTCATTAAATATACTTAATGATTTAAAAGTTTAATGACCAAACAATGATACTTATTTACAGTTCATTATTTACAATGCACATCCATAGGTTTACAGCATACTACAAATTAGTCGACAAATTTAACGGCGAAACGCATCAAATTAGTCTGATCAAATAGTGATAATCCAGTTATTTTGCTAGTAGCAGGTAGTAAAACATCCTTTACAAAAAAGACAATGTTTTGTTTATATTTCTTTTTTTGTTGTTGTTGAGAATATCAAGGAGTTTATTATCAGAATACCAATATTCAAATCAAATCTGCTTATAAACATTGGATGATTTTATTCTAGGACTAAATTTAGTTAATAACTTATCTATTTATCATCTCTTTCGGAGATAGCTCACATATCAAACACTAACCACTATATATGAAATTAACATTCCAGTTATTTAAGAAAGAAAACTTCGTACAATCCTAATTTTTTTTATCTAAACAATAAAGATACGGACTTGCAAGTATTAGTATACAACCTCTAAGATTGGTTTTCTTCTGTAGTCTTAAGTATATCAATTTAGATATTAGTTCTGTAAATGAGATATTAAATAAACCAACCGTGCTATGTAAATAGAATGTTTAGCTATCTGAAAGAGTTATATGTCAGTGTATAAGCATTTCGTTACTTTTACATTGTATCATATTCTTCAAAAAATAGCATCTGTTTCATTCATATGGTCAAAATAAGAATATCATTAATAGTAACACATTTTAATTTTTTCAAATATTTTGTTTTTTCTGGACAAGACTCATTAGCTATATTTATTTCTAGTGTAGTGGATCAGAACACAAGTAAGGACAATCAAATGTGTTTGAATACAAAATTACAGAATATCTTAGTAAAATCTGAGAATCATACAGTAAATACTTCATTTGCAAAATATCAATCAATCGTCTCAAACTTTATTGTTCTTTCACTTCTACACCAATCATTCTTTGTTCTCGTTCTCTTTTCTTTAATCTTTTTAACCTTCTACCTCTAGGTATTTCATTTTTGATTAATGATACATATTACTATCAGTATCACACACCACACTAGTAACTATAGCCAAACACAAATCTGTAAATTATCTTATATAGCCTATTGAAGTAAACAATTGGTATCATACAATTCAATTTGTCATAATATTATAGATCAAAACAAGTCAATACAAATAGCTTTATTCAATGTATACAAATGAAATTAGGAGGAAGATTAATAATAATAATAATAATAATAATTCATTTGAACTATATGTTGAATATTATGTTCTGATGAAGAGATAAACAAGAGTATGTAAAAATGTTTTATTCATTTACTGTTAATAATGGCAAGAAAACAAAACAAACATCTTTTCATTCAATTTAAAATGAACAATAATGAGTTCCATATTCAAATGAGCTGACATTGATATTTATAATTTTATCGTTCAATAGTAGTACGATTATTATTATTATTACTATTACGACGTAATTGATAGAATATTTTCCAGAAGGTATTTTTAAATTGTCTTGACATAGCCAAATATACAAAAAAATTTGCTGGATAAGATAATATCACCAGAAAGTTACAGATTTCAACAATCTAAAATAAAATAATAATAATAATAAGATAATTATTAATTATTCATTTGAGATAATCAATAGTCCATTGTGAACCAAATATAATCTTAATAGGTGAACAAAAAACCATCAGATTTTTAACACTTTCTAAGAGTTTATTTTATATTGAAAAGAGCAAGAACAATGATTCTAGCAGAATAGCATGAATTCATTTTATTTCGTAGGTTCTCGTCAGCTGCTTACAACCTGTGATATTTAAAAATCATAATTACATAATGCGTTTACTAGTATGGGGGTTGTGGAGATTATTACGTTTTTGATTGAGATCATGAACCGATTGATGATGATCTCAATCAAAAACGTGATAATCTCCACAGCCCCCATACTAGTAATCAACGTGTGCTCACTAGTGACTAGCTTCGTGAGGGAATTCTCGGAGTTCTAGTGAGAAGCCGTGATCAGTGGAGCTAATCCATGTCGGGTAGAGACAGGTATCTATCTCAGTACAATGGAAGTTGGTCGCGCAATTTCATGGATTGGTTGATGTTAGACACTATCACAATTGGATGCCGGCTCAGTGGTCCAGTTGGTTAGGCGTTCGCGCGCGAGACCGAAGGCCCTGGGTTCGAATCCTGCGAGCGGGATCGTGGAGGCGCACTGCTGAGGAGTCCCACAATAGGACGAAACAGCCGTCCAGTGCTTCCAGGTTTTCAATTGTGGTGGTCTAACATCAATCGGTTCATGATCTCAATCAATACTGGGTTTAAATTGCTTACATGAACGGGTTTGTTTGGGAGTTATATTGAAGAAATATTCGTAAAGTATATTATGTGCGTAAATGAAATTAATTGACTGACTTGTAAATATATACCTGATGTGAAAGAATATTCTACAACATTAATTGTGGCACAGTTCAAAAGTGGGTTAGAAACAATTGATTACATAATCAATAAACACTGATAGGAATACAGTGAGTAGAGTTTACTTGAAAGATAATTGAAAAAAATTAAAATCAATAATGTAATAAATACAAAAGAAAAAAATTTTTTTAAGGTGCAGTGAAAGAATATTTGTCACCAAGGCAAGGAAAGATTAACAACCGTCTTCTTTTGAATACATAGGTCAGGTTATGTAATAGATATACAGGAATAGACATAAAGTACAAATAATTTCATAATCAATCATATATAAAATAAAATTTATTTTGTCGTTCATATCTATTACTCTGTTAAAGTTTATCACTAAAACATTTATGTTCAATTTTTGGTTGAAATTTAGAGTCTGACTTTCATCTCAAGTTTAGGGATGTATTAATTTGGTTATGATAGTATTCAGTGACCATTAACTTTTTATATTGATAATGATACAAATTATACCAAAGTCATAAAAATACTACATAATCTTCTATCTCGTGGGTTCGTTTCAGTGTTAAAATAATCATGTACAAATACACTAATGTATTTCTCGACAATCTACGGTATGAGATCTAAATGAAAATAGTAATCGTTTCTGACTTTTAACGTTTCACGTTTTGCCATATGTATATTACCATGTATATACATTAAAAATTATATGTTTTTCTTATTGTTGTCTATCCTCATATATAACCATCAACAATGGATTTAAATGAGTCAAATACGAGAATGAATTTTCGAACACGTATATCCTGTACACTGATTGATCTGGACGGATAATCAGAGGAACGAAGCGGAAAGACGCTCAGTGGAGAAGGCATGTAAGTCAACTCAATTTAGTCAAGCTGTAGTGATCAGGAACACGGGTGAGGGACAATTGAATTTATTCAGCACAAAATTACAGACTATCTCAATAAAATCTGAATACCATAAAGTCAATCGTCAATTTGCAAAATATTAATGCATCATATCAAACTGGACTGTTTCCGTTGCAAACACTAATCCATTGTCTCCCATTCCATTGTACATACATTTTCTTACTAATTCCATTGTGCTCTCGCTCTTCTTTTTCTTGATCTTCACCTCATCTTCTGCTGCCAGATATTACGTTTTAACTCGCGACATATACTACTTATATCAATATAAGTAGCTTACACCACAAAGCGTCAATCAATATTTATAGTCACACAAAAATAAGCTACAGACATGTGGTAAGTAAGATAAGATGTACACACACATACGCTCATACAAAAACAGTGTTGATAAGTGAATAATCAGAGAAGTTAAAACGTGACTGAGAAAGAATGAATAGATTGGCTTGTCCAGAAGCTAGAATAAGTTATGTGGGTTTAACCGACACTACACTATGTTGCTCGAACATGTTACAATCAGTAAATTTTAATGTCATCTGTATAAAATAACATTTATCGATTTGAAAATAAACGATGGCGTAAGTTCATGGAAAACCCTGAAACATACATCTATAGGATGAAATATGTTTACCAAAAAAGTTTTCAATAGACTTATCAAAACAAAAGTGTTACTTAGTCTATTGTATAATTATACAATATGTATTTTATAAGCAAGATAAAATACTTACATTTCTGTAGCCCTGAATTATTCTTCGCTACTTCTATTCAAAACAAATACTTTGAATCTCGTGGTAGACTTTCATGTTTGAATTATTACAGATATAAAGTGGTTGTCAGACAAAGCGAATTCAAATAAATGGTGAAGCAGAGTGATTATTAAACGCTATCAAGATAGCATGAATCTTAAGTGAATAGTGAATACAATAGCTTCAGGCAACACTTCAAATTTAAGTGGACTAACGTATTACGCGACTAGCAAATTGTTTGTGAATTATCCTGGTGTTTATTAAGCTTATGTAATATGAAATACTGCATCTTTAATTAATACATACTTCCCTAATCAATAGATCGTAAAGAGGAGCGCTCTATTTGAGCAGGTTTATACTAACATAAAAGGAAATGCAATGTTTAGCTCTGCAGTATTTTTAAAATTCTCTAAATGATGTAACTGAAATCTACTCTTATCGAGTAGCCTAAATTTCATAAATTTGACTATTCAACAAAACATTCAATAACCAGATAACTTGAGTATAACTTCTTCAAACAACCAACTTTAAATTTCTGAACTTCATTTGAAAGATCTAGGAGCCTACTGTTCATGGTAGATATTAGTTTTATTAAATCATATCTAAGCGATAACATTGTAGATAAAACTTTAGAATTATGCGAGCTCATCATCTGTAAAGGCCAATTTTTATATATTTGAGGACAGCAGACGATATGACACTTTACTATGTTAATGAAGCATCTTTGAATAAGCCGATTTCTCCCTGACTGATGTAAAGTAATGATCATCCGTAGTTATCATTAGTAACTCAGATTCCAACTTTATTTGTCCCTAATATATTAGACCTCATCTAATCCATCGATACGCACTTAAATGTGCTATTTAACTGAAAATTAAGAGTCACAGTGTTTCAATAAATTGTCTCATTCATCACTCTTTATGGAAATGGTGTCTTTTTTCAAACATCATACGTTTAAAAAAACCAACTAAGCATTAGTACTAATGTTTATATTACTGTATGACAAATTTTTCTGGTATAATTGTAAGGGGCTATCACAAAACATCACTTCAAGACCAGTAGAACCTATAGGCCTATATTTATCACATCATAAAATCATTTAACAAGTTGTAAAGACCAGTATCATTTCCGGTCTATTCAATTAAGTCTGAAGGGAATAATGTATTTTAAGTATTTCCTTTGTATACACTCAAAGGCAACTTGTTTTTTAAGCATTCTATCAGTAGATTTTTTTAAATTATAATTTATGTACTAATGTAATCTATCATTTCATGTAAAAAGCTTTCGTTTCCGGGTGATAACTACTTAAGTGACATTAATCACCCTTACTACGCTAATTAAACCAATATCACTTCCTTTAAAATGGCTTTTAACTTGTAATGAAAGCTAATCTAGCCTGTTTTCGTTGTGTTTATAATATGCATAAACATAGGTGTACTTTACAATCATATGTATGAATATATTTATTTGTAGGTCTCTTCCCTAAATGTAACTTTTTCAAAGTTAGAGAAGAGCATAATCAGATAACTGTTGTTTAACCATACATCTGTTTCGCTCTACTTGATTCTTATATATGGCTCTTCAATAACTCACGGTCACACAATAAACAATTCAGGTCAATTGTTATTTTGTAACTCCAATGGTATCATTTGTACAGGTTGATAATGTTGATTAGTGAACTAGCAATTATATAAAGTATTCGTAGAGTATTTATTTATTCTTCTTATGAACACATTATGATTAACCAGGAGATTTAGACGTAAACTGTGTGTCCTTAAACTATATCTGGCTCATTTATTTCAAAAAACAATTTTTTGGGAAACTAATCCTACACACATGCGTTTCTCGTAAAAAAGAAACAAAATGACTACGGTTTCATTGTTTTAGCTTTGAACTGCTAAGATATAGCAAATAATTTGGTTAAAAATGTTTTGGATTCTGTGCCTAGTTCGTATGGCTTCATTTCAGCAGTAACTTATGAGCTAGTATTAATGAAATTGATTCTTAAGATGAACTCTCATAAAATTTCGTCATTTCATTAACAATCTTCAGTCTTCAGTCTTCAGTAATAAGGATAGGAGGTCTGTCGACCTATATTAATCCTTGCCGTTTGTAATACTGTGGAGGTCCAATCTCGTTTTGAATATATTAACAGACGGTGCTGATATTACGTGTTCCGGTAGAGAATTCCAGTAATTCACTACTCGGTGCGAGAAACGGAACTCCAGACGTAAACGGTTTGATCTCGGTTTTTGAACTTTCTTCGAATGTCCTCTCAAATGATCGGTTCTAGACGGAAGCAAAAGACAAGACATGTTAATACCAAGGTCATCGTTCAGTATACGATAAGCCAATATTAGATCACCCCGTACTCTACGGTAAGATAACGGAAATAAGTTAAGGTGTCTCAGTCTGTCTTCATAAGATAGGCCAGCTAGACCTTGTACCATCTTAGTAGCTCGTCGTTGGACTCTTTCTAGCATATCTGCT